AGGGTGAGCAGCGCTCACCCCTGTCCCCAGGCACAGAGGGGCTCTGCCGCTCGGGGGGCTGACACCAAGGGCTGTGGGGACAGGGAGACTGCCGTTCCCAGCTCCTCTCATCAGGGCTGTTGGCTCGGCTCACATCCCACAGGGCTCTGCTAGGAGCCCGAGGCTGCTGTCTGGGCAGGTCCACATTTCCAGGGGCTTTGCAGCAGGTCCCCATCGGGGTACACAGTGATGTCCCCAAGCTGGCACCAGGCTCGTAGTCCAGCAATATCCAGAGCCAGGCTCCTGCTCCCCATTCGTGGTGAGAGCAACCCCATGGCTTGCAGCAGATCCTTTTGTAGTGACCTCTGTGCCCAGCTCCACTCTGGGTTTGTTTTTCCTGAAGGTTTCGCTGCGCCACTGCTCGGATCGGCCTTTCTTCCCTGACTGTACTCCCGGCTAATTTAAGAGCAGATGACTGCGGTGCCAGCAAGCAGAGCGCACCAGAGAGGAGATGGGGAGACCAGTTAGCCAAATGAAAAATTAAGATGACCATCTGGATTCCTGTTTTCTCCCACACTTGACAGCTGGTCCCCTGAAAACACCCTGCCCTGGATCCGGCCCCGCGCTTCCCGCAGTGGTGATGTTGGCATGGTTTCTAGGCCGGGGCTGCCCGTCTCCTCATCAGTTTTACTGTCTGAGCCTGAGCCCTCATGGAGTGCCAAGGGGCTCAGCTGCTGCATGGGGGTCCTGCCAGGAATCCCCCCAGTGGGCATAACCCAAAGCCATCCCTGCTGGGTGCCCTGGGCTAAGGGCTCAGTCCTGCATCCTTGAGGGGCAGCGGTGGTGTTCCCAGGACACAAGGTGATTTTTTTCCCCCTCTTTCCAGTTGGCTTTGCCCTTGCCCCATCCCTCAGCACCACCTTCCTGCTGGTTCTGGAGATAAAGCTTCTTCCATTGAAATTCCCATCAAGCTCTCTAGGAGCTTTGAGGGGTTAAAGCTCTGCTAAACCTACAGTTCATCCTGGAACAATAGAGTACATTAATATCATCCCCCCTCATCCTGCTGGGGCTGGGGTGGGGCATGAAATCCGGCCCCCAACACAGCTTTGTGCCCAGAGCAGGGCTCTGCCAAAGTAAATGGATTATTGACCAGTTTGCAGAGTGAAAGGAAAAAAATGAGGTGATGGGGAAAGGGGCTTTTCCAATTAACCTTTTCCCACACAGGGTCTGGCGAGGCTTCGCTGTGCAGGAGGGCGTGAGGGACTGGGTGGTGTGGGGAGGCTTTGCAGGGCTGGGGCTGACCCCACAGGAGGGGATTGCTCCAGCATATGCAAAATTCCAGTGTGGGATTTGAGGGGTTTGTGTCCCCAGCATGCTGGGGAGAGATGGGGTGAGGGACAGGGAGCACCTACACTGCCCTGAGCCCCTCTTGCTGAGCCAGGGTGCCCTCACTCCCTCTCATTGCTCCATAAGGATGGGGCTTTGGCTCTTGTGAACCTGAAAATGCTTTTTAAATCTCCTGCAATAAGGTGGCTCTGCCCAGGCTTTGGGGATGGGTGTCACCACCATGCTCTAGCCCCATCCCCAGGATCCCCTTTCCTCCCTCTTGGCTGAGCTTTTGACTGCATCTCTTCCCTGGCCATGACCTCTGCCACAGCTCAGCAGCCGCGAGCTCCATCCCACTCTGCAGCCTGACTTCTCCCAGCGCTGCTGCATATTCCAGCAGTGCCTGTGCCAGGAACCTGAGGACAGCCAGGTGGGAGATGCCTCAGGGTATCCTTGGGACCCAGAGGTGATGGCAGTCTGGGGGCTTGTGGGATTCTTTTGGGGGTGTTTGCCTTCCCTGCTCCTACTCCACCAGCCATGGTAGTGTGGTACGAGCTGTCCTGTCCCCCAAAACTCATCCAAAATCGACTTTGAGGGCAGTGCTGGAGCTGGAGGCTATGAGTGCTGGTGTTTGTTCCTGGGGCAGCCAGTGACGCCGGGTGAGCTCTGGCAGTGCTGGGGGAAAGGAGGCTCCTGCCTCCCTCCCTGCCAGATGGTCTAAGTGGGTCACACCAGGGCAGTGCAGGGGATTTGTGCTTTAACCCTTAATCCCCCGGGATGCACCGGGCACAGAGGGGGAGGGAGGGATGTGTTGCTGAAGTGGGATTAAGCCCAGTTTCACCGCCTGGTTTGCCATTGAAGGTGATCTCAGAGACAGGTCTGGGTGCTGCTGCTGCTGCAAACCTGCTGGGACAAGGGTGATGTGTCCTCCCTGGCTGCACTGGGACGGGGTGGGAGCAGTCATGGCACTGCAGTGCCGGGGGACACAGTACCCCATCGAGGGCAGAAGGCATCTGCCATCCCCGTGTGGCCTTTGCAGTGACTTTTGGCCATCCCCACCTCTGGCTTCCCAGCCACCTTCCGGTGGCCCCGATCCCCAGCTCGTCCCCAGCGGGTCGGCAGCCCTTGGGTATATCGATGCGGAGTGTGCTGCTGGGGAGGAAGCCCCGCTGGCAGCCCTGCTGTGCGGATGGTCCCCCGCTCCCGCTAATCCTCCCCCTTGTCGGTCGGGCATCTGTTCCGCGGGAAGAGGCGGCGGCGGTGCCGGCCGCGCCAGCCGCCTGGCTGCCATCTGCTCCCTCCGCTCCCAACGAGCCCCAGCGCTAATGAGCCCGTGGCCCCGGCCCAAGAGGGGGGAGAGGGGCTTGAAAAGAAAAGCGGAGGGGGAGAAGAAAAGCCCCTTCCTTGGAGGGGCTGTCAAAAGGGAGGCTTTTGTCTGCCCCTGCCCTCCGGCTCCAGCTGGACGGCGATGGGAGCGGGGAGAGCTAATTAGGCAGCTCGGGAGCTGCTAGGAGGCTACGGGCAGCTGAGTGAGGGGAAGAGCAGGGGATGCCCGCAGGATTCCCTCCCTGCTGCTCGCAGAGCCTTCATCCTCCTCCTCCTTCCCCCGGCCCTGTCCATCTGCCTCTCCACTGGACTGGTGCTTGGCACCGTGTCCCTACTGGCCTCCCTGGTGGGGTGAGGGACACCTCTGTCCCCACCTCTGTATGAGGGACAAGGGGATGGAGGT